GAAAACATTAGTACACCTGTAAAGGACTCCTCCAACAAGAACAACAACATTAAGAGTTCTGACACTCACTTGTCGACGAATGAACCAGCACCCTCACAAAAAGAGACTAAATCGACGCCAAGTGTGTCAAGTAAATCCACTGATTCGAAGATTGTTGCCGAAACTGAAAATCTTCCGAAAGTCAGTAGTACCGACCGTAAAACTGCTAATAAGCATGAAAGTGAGGCTTCAGATAAAAAGAATGTGGTCACTGCTCATGACGAAAGTAACACAATTAGTAATGTAGTAAAACCTGACACTCAACCAAGCAAGAAAGAGTCAGACTCAAAGACCAGTTCTTCACATGAAGCTAATGCATCAACAAAAACAGCTGAGTCAATGAAGTCTAATACGGTCAACACTCCCAATATCACTGATACTACTAAGTCTACTACTAAAGATGTACAAAACAAGAAAACTATGCCAGAAAACATTAGTACACCTGTAAAGGACTCCTCCAATAAGAACAACAACATTAAGAGTTCTGACACTCACTTGTCGACGAATGAACCAGCACCCTCACAGAAAGAGACTAAATCGACGCCAAGTGTGTCAAGTAAATCCACTGATTCGAAGATTGTTGCCGAAACTGAAAATCTTCCGAAAGTCAGTAGTACCGACCGTAAAACTGCTAATAAGCATGAAAGTGAGGCTTCAGATAAAAAGAATGTGGTCACTGCTCATAACGAAAGTAACACAATTAGTAATGTAGTAAAACCTGACACTCAACCAAGCAAGAAAGAGTCAGACTCAAAGACCAGTTCTTCACATGAAGCTAATGCATCAACAAAAACAGCTGAGTCAATGAAGTCTAATACGGTCAACACTCCCAATATCACTGATACTACTAAGTCTACTACTAAAGATGTACAAAACAAGAAAACTATGCCAGAAAACATTAGTACACCTGTAAAGGACTCCTCCAATAAGAACAACAACATTAAGAGTTCTGACACTCACTTGTTGACGTATGAACCAGCACTCTCACAGAAAGAGACTAAATCGACACCAAGTGTGTCAAGTAAATCCACTGATTCGAAGATTGTTGCCGAAACTGAAAATCTTCCGAAAGTCAGTAGTAATGTAATTTCACCAGAACAACCTGCTAATAATAATATTAATAAATCGGATCATTCAAAGTTATCAAAAATTGCTTTACGTCGAGATACAGTAGTTCTTGAAAATCCTAAAAGCTTATTACCAACAACGACCGATATTAATATTGATAATAGTCAAAAAGAAACCTCTAATGATAAGCTAAAAAATCCAACAAATGATACAGTAAGTAGATTAATTACTGATATTGAACAATTAAGAAACGAATTGTGTAAGTTTCCTTCTTCAATAAATCATACAAAAATATCAATAGCTTGTCAAACAAATCAACAAAATATGCTCAACTGTTCTACTCAGACTATACCATCAACTGTTGACTGTGTTCAGAATCAATTAGAAAATAATACTTTTCAGCTACAATTAGAATCTTTAATATTATATAGTATAAAATATGATATCAATCTTTCGAAGAAGAATAATAGTTCCACAAAAGTTGTGCAATATCCTTTACAAATAAAAAAAACACCTTATTTAACTCATTCAAAAGTACTTGAATATAGTTCATCATTGAAAGAAACCAATAAATCACTTATGTATAATACTTGTCCACAACAATCTATTAATCATTCATATGAATTCGCTTCATCATTGTTTCATTTGTTACAAAAGGAATATGTAAAACATTTCAATAAACTTTCATATTCAAACTTAAATGATCTAAATCTATTTACATTGACACAATTTATTTTACAAACATACGATATATGGAATTATGATTTAAATTCAGAGAATTATAATAGTAATACTAATTCTATTCGAATAAAACGTAACAGTACTACTACTACTACTAATAATAATAATCTTAATCAACTTTCTATTATTAAAACACCATTACATTATAAAATTAATATTCGTCAATTTTGTAATAATTTATTATTATGCATAATATGTATTTATATGGATACTGAACAATTATCACCAAGGCAACATTATACACGTATTATATCATTTATAAAAAAATTAATGAATAATTATTTTCATCATATCAATAATACTAATAATAATAATGATGATTTTTTTAATGAATTTCATCAATTTTGTAATGAAAAATTATTACATAATCATTTATGGTTTAGTCAAATCATTTATGAAAGTTTAATTCTATTACAACCATTTCATATAGAATGGATTCATTCATGTATTGATTTAATCAATTTATCAAATCATACATTACAAAAGATTAAATATCGTTTAACTATTAATATCACTAATATATTACCTAATATTATATTAAATAAAGATTCTATATTTGAATTAATACCATCTACAATGATTAATTCATTATGTCGAACAAATGAAATGTATAATTTAATATATTTACGTATATTATATACCAATTTAATATTAACACCAATGAATTTAACATTAATAATTAAAATTTATAATAGTTTTGTAGATGCTATCAATTACTTGTTATCATTATCGAATTATACCACCACCACCACCACAACAACAACAACAACATCATCATTATATCGAAATATTACTGAGCCTATTATAGATCTTAGTTATATAACAAGTCAATTATTACAATTATTTATTCAATTAAAATATCGTCTATGGGAAATGATGATACAACCAATTGTAAATAATAAACAAAATACATTAATATTAGATCAATTATTAAATTGTATTAATCCACATGTATTAAAACATTTCAATACTATCTGTTCTAATACAAATCATCATAGTAACATTTATTTATTTATATTAATATTTCGAATATTAATGTCAGTACAATTTGAATCCGATTGTTTAATACATGAAACACAATCAATTAATTCACCAATATATGGTTTTAATTATAGTGTTATTATGAGTAGTTTAACAAATTGTTCAATTACTGGACCATCTAAAAGTGATCATATTCTATGTGAAAATAATGAAACTTATCATCATCTTTTATATCATATTTATGAAATGTGTTATGCAGAATGGTTAATGACAGGTTTATGGCCTTATAATAAAGTGAAAATGTTCAATGATCAACATCATCCTCATCATTCACAACAATTATCTGTTCAATATTTATGGTTTCATGCATTAAAACAAAAAGATGAATTAATGACATTATTATTTCATAATAGTTTGATTAATAATTTTAAATCTGGTTTACAACAATTAGTCAAACAAAAATCAATAAATATTAAACTATGGTTACCTGTTAAATTTAATTCAACTGATTTAAACAATGGTATATTTTGGTCTCGTGTCTATTTAGCCGCAATTATGCAATGGTATGATACAAATTCAAAATCAACAAATTGTGGAACTATTATTAATAAACTATCTCATATATTAAATATTAATTCATCAACGACAAGTAATAAGAGAACGAATTATATGAATATAAATAATTATAATAAAAGTTGTTGTCGTGTATTTTTGCGCAAACTAGAAGAAATTCGATGTAATTGGTCATATTCAAATTATGTCAATTATGACCTCATGTATATCTGGTGCCTGATGTCAGATGATATTCATTGTTGTAGTACAAGTGGGAATGTGTACCAAGGAAGCGATAATAATAATAATAATGCCGATCTATATCATCCATCAATTATATTTGAGAAGAATTTAAATATGCTACCGGACAATGTAGTGACACAATTGAAGCTAGCTTATTTTATTGAACCATCTATTCTATTTACTACTATATCACATAAAACAGTATCAGAATACATATTGAAATATCAACAACAGTTAGCGAATACGAAATGTTCATATTCTGAGGTGATTGGTATAACAAAGAAATGGATTGGTTTTTCTCCTAAAATGCACCTTTATTTTACATTTTTACTGAACACAATTAGCTATGGTTACGGTCTTTATAAGGGTTGATTTTTTATCTTCTCATTGTTATCGTTAAAGCGTATCTCTACACGTAAATGGTCATAATCACTGAAAGAAATGTTTTTTTTTGTATTTGTGGTCTGGTGTTATATAGGAATTTTCAGGTTCAATGCCTGTTTTTTAAACTTGAGAGATCTAGTAAGGACGGTGTTAATATTTCCATTCTCCCACTGTTTTTATATTACTTACCCTCAACTATTTTTGAAGCAGTTTTATTAACATTTTTATTTAGTCATTTATCAAATTTTCAGTATAGGGTTGTGAAGATAGTTGAATTCCATTTAAATCATGAATCGATCTAAGACCACCATTGAAAATGTGGAAGCAATAGACGGCCATTTTGTCCTAGTATAGGACACCGCATCAATGCGCATCCACGATCGAGGTTTGACATTAACATCGCTAGGTGTCACGACAGAGGTCTGGAGGTTAAGCGTTCGCACTCCAGACCGAAGATTCTGGTTTCGATTGCCCATGGTGGATACATCGTTTTTATGAGTCCTATACTAGGGCGAAATGGCCATGCAGCGCTTGCAGTTTCGATTGGTCGTCTAATTTAGATCGTTTCATGATTTCAATGAAATTTATTGAGTTTGTCCTATTAAAAAACAATTTTGTGACGGGGTTTTTCCAAATGCTAATCTCTGTATTGGACTAAATGAATTTTTGTGAGTAAATTTATATTAAACATAATTATAAAATATTACTAACTTCCCCTAAACCTCACTTATTTTTTACTGGTTTCACACATCACTAATTGTTATCATAATTATTTTATAAATTACTAATCACGTGTTTAAGGGTTACCGTAATCACCAACAAATTCATAACCTATTTAAGTTGATTTACTCCTCCTCACTCCAAAAAAAAGTGAGAATTTCCTTTCCAGAGTGTGAATAAAAATTGTAATACAGTTTACTATTGTTATTGTTTTATAAATTTTTTTATACTTTCCCCGCCTTCTTTCTCTCTCTCTCTCTCTCTGTCTACAGAATAATGTTGATCAAAAGCTGGTAGAAAATTTACGTTGTCAAATTGAAAGCTTGAAACAAGAAATAAAAAGGTATTGTTTTCTAATGACAAGAAAAACAGCTAACAAGTTATTTCGTTCTCTCATACTATTTACTTATCGTATTATTTGCTTTTTCGAAACTGATGTGTTCTAAATGTTCGTTTGCGCAAGGGATTTTTTTATTATCCGGTTGGTTGATATTAAGGATTGCAGTTGTTTATCAATCTCTTTTTTTAATTTACTTTTTTTGTTGAACAGATGGCTTCCTAATCAGAAGCTTTATAAGTAAAATTGAGTCAAGTGTATCAGTGGAATTCAGTACGCATGCACTATTTAAGAATCATTAGTTGAATATATCTTCCTTCCAATGTTAATGTTTATTTGTGATCCTTTTTACTAGAAATGGAAAGATCAAAATATTTACAAATCAGGATGAAACATCTTCCTAGAACAAATTAGTGTAACATGCTGGTTACTAGGCTCGATTTTTTTGTATGAAGATTAACATTGAGATTCAGGTACATCTAACCGATGAGTCCCAATTAAGACGAACTGTGGCTTGCTAGATCCCACTGGTAATCCCTATCTAAACTTACATAAAACCTTTGTTTTACCAACTAAAATTTAAAGAGGTTATGTTGGGTGTGTTAAGTTTTGCCATTACAATTAAATATAATTAGATTGCTACAGCTCTATAATGCGTATCATATGATTAACATTGTTCATTAAGCTCACATACACAATTGATTCCTACATAGATCATTTACGTAAGTATGGAGAAAGGTCGATAGCTAACGAAAAGTCTAATTAATGACCATGAGCATTGGCTGGTAATAAAACCAAAATTAGTTGATAACATTAAATAATTAATGGAAACTGCCCATCAAATTTAACAGACATACCAAATGAAGTGAATGTTTTTTTTTTTGTATAAATAACAATTTTCACTTCATTGATGTTATCATCGAATCAATTATGAAATTTGATATTTTTGGCCAATCAAGTATCAGTCAAATGATATGTGTACATGACCGGCGAAGAAATGGCTTGTATTTTTAAGTAATGAGATGTACACCATTGGTGTCATACTTTTCTAAGATCTATATATATATTCAGTTTAGTCAGTAAACTTTCATCCCACTCCCCCGTCTTTCCCTTAGTAGTGCCAGCTTGGCTGGTGTATAGGAAAATTGTGTATCAGTATCAAAATTAGACACCATACATTATGACGTCATCATTATAAAATGATAAATAAAAAAATAAAAAATTTAACAGTGTTAAATTTGCATACGAACACTGTAGATTTTGATAAATTTTCACATGAGAAATCAACCTTTTCATGAATTCACTTATGTACCGGTTATCTTTCGGTTACTTAATATTACATAGTATGGAAATATTGATTCATTATTATTTGAAACGGTTGTTAACACTCAATCATGTTGTTTGTTCTGTATTTTCAGACAATAACAACTAGTAAATCACTAGTCTGGGTTGATTTTTTTTATTAATGAAATGGAGATTATGAGACTTTTATTTTCTAAAAAAAAAACAACAAGGAAATATAAGAATTAGTAATTTGTTTAATTAGTATTTACGCTAGTAGTAATTCCGCTTAACTGAAGGATGTATTAAAATGAATCCAATAAATTAAACTGAAATAGCTCATCAAGGTTATTAAATTGACAACTTATTGATTATCAACTTACATAGTTTATCTGATAACCAGAATCTACTTTTACTCTAACCGTCGGGTGTCATTTTCTGAAAGTTCACAGGAATGAGATATTTAAGGAACTGTTCATACTTTACTAAATTACTTAACCAAACACAGGTACTATTGTTCTAGTCTTTATTTAAACCATATAATAAATCAATCTACTTAGAATATTCCGAATGCAAGTGAATTATTTCTTTGATTCCTCTCACAGGTAGTCTATATCATTTCATTCACACTCTTAGTACTAAATAAGCTATAAATTAAGCCTAGCTAAGATAAACACGTCAAAATATTCTGTTATCTTTCTGTAGATTACAACGTGGTGCATCTACAGCTGAAGAACGAACTGTTAATGGAAATACTGGTGAATGTGAGTTGAATATTGTGGTCTGTTTTTTTCCAATAACCCTGCTTGGTTATTTCTTTCTTGTTATGAAGTCACCTGAGCTTCATTCTATTGAGAAACTTAGTTATTCTGTCGATACTAATAAGTTAAAATATTTTATCGATACATCTGATGAAAGGTTTTGGTAAATATCGTTTTTAATTGAAGATAATAATTGATACGGATTTATCTTAACTGGGATACCATTGAAAACCAGATACTACTAGTGTGTATCCACGACCCAGCCAGGGATATAGACCCAAAGTTTGAAACCACCTCAACGAAACGCCGAATCTGAGGATAAACACATATTGGCCAGCTCATCAGTGACTTACATCAGGACGAGTTCTTAGATTTCAGGTAAAAAAAATCGTGATTGTTGAATAGTACACATGTCAGGAGTGAAACAGCCGTCACAAATGGCCTCGTATGGTTGTCGCCCCATATCACAAACCGAATAAAGTTGAATATGTGTACCACTGAATAAAGCCATTAATAATAATAATAACAGCCATTTTAACGGTTAAGCGCTGGCTACAAGGCCTGAATTCTATGAGTTCTTTTTCAGTTACCATATTGTGAGTACACATTGCTAAGAAGCCCTATGCTAGGGCAAAATAGCTATCCAGTACTTTCTGGTTTTCAGTGCTATCTCAGCTGGTATTATTTCATGACAAACCTCACATATAGTTGATAAATATTTAAGATGTTTGATTCCATTATTATGAAACATATTGTTATTACTCAAAACGCTGTTTGACAGTTATTTTACTTCCATGCTTTTGTAGCTTACGATCACTATGATTTGCTTCGTAGATACCGTACAACTCACTTTAGCTTAAGATGACGGTGAAACGTTTCGCTGAGTTACTTAAATATATTTTGACTGACTTGAATTTTTCTTGATTGTCTTCCTAATCAATTGTTTGTTATGATGACTCTTTTTTACTATTTCTTCATAGAATTTATCAGTTTAACTTTGTGTTCCCACTTTTCTTATACACCATTCTCATCACATTGGTATATATTCTAAGTAGAATAAAATAAGTAAATGAACCAGTAAACACTGGACCAACTAAAATTCTTAAATGTTAAACTTTTGAACTATAGAAATAAATAAAGTCTTTCAATTAATATTACATTGTCTTACAATTGGAAGCTTCTCATATGAAAGATTTGATGTTTCATCTAGTTTTAAACGTAATTCATATTCACTTTACAATAAAGAACATAATTTTTAAGTTATATAAGTAATTTTTCAATTATTATCATATTATACCTACCTAATAGTTAGTCTTTTAACTATTGCTACAGTTCATAGATATCTTGTGTATTTCAAAATATAGTGAATGGATTTCTTCACCGTCTTTCATATCATCACTGTCCATCATGTTTAACAACAGAATTCTACTCATCTAACTAACAATCAAATGTCATCGAGTTTCTCGATATTCTGTGTTGTCCGAATTTTTTTTTACAGTCTCTCAAAAAATATCAAGTACAAATTCGTTAAAGGTTATTAAAAAACTTAAAGTATTTCTGCTTTACCTTATCCTCTCCCTCATGTTATTGTCTTCATAAGCTTTAATCTTTTGATGTTTTATCTGCTTTTCTTGTACAGTTCATACATCACACAGTTCTCCAAGTCATTTTTATTCAATGGATCCGTATGGAAGTGTGGATAAACAAAATGAAGAAAAATCCTATTCATTACATAATCCATCATACTACAGCACTCAGTTGCAAGAACTACGTCAAACTGGTGACTTAGAGTTAGTTCGCGCACACCTTAGTTTGTCTGAACGACGTCGACGTGAGCTTGAAAGACGTATAACCGAACTGACTGATGAGTTAGCACGTTCTCGTGCTGAAGCCCGTTCCGCGGAAACTAGTCTTTCTGCTGCTCGTCGAACCGAAGCTGCACTAAGAAGACGTCTTCTTGTTGCTATGGATTCTCGAGGTTCACCTAATGGAAATTATGAAATGAATATATCACGAAATTCACATGAATTCTCTTCTAACGAAAGTTCAGAAATGATGAATGCTTTGGAGTTACAAGCAGATGTAAGTATCTTTAGTTTCAACTATTTTTAGAATCTTTAGGAAACACTATCATATACTGTTGTTTAATAATTTATAAATTTTATGTTCAAATTTTTCACAAATCATTTTTTCTCTTCTAGGGAAGTCAACTTGGGAAACCAAGGTCAAAAATGATTTCAGTTTTTTAAAAAAACGGTTCTATTTACATTGACTGGACAATCAAAATCGTAAATGTAAAATTGATCAAAATCATTTTGCTTTAATTTCATTTATAATTAAGTATACATTGAGTAAACCAGTTGAACAAAAGTTTCGATTAAGAAAAAATGAGAATTTTCTAGTTGCATTATTTAAAAAGACCTAGATCAAGGGTTTTCTGTCAACTACCTCCAAGCACCTAACATCACAACACAGTGAACAGAATGTCAAGTCACTACGACTAATGGCCTCATCGTGACCTGATTAGTATAATCAAATCGGCTCTAAAAGGTTAGAGATATCTGGCACTAGCCATTAAACAATGATCAGTCAGTTTCAAATATTTCAGTTCTCAGGGGAATAATTAGGAAAATGACAACCTGTTAGGTGCAATATCTTGTAACTATCAATAAATATAATATGTGTCGATTTCAAGGTTAACATCATCTGTATTGTAGCTCAAATCATTTAGTCATGATACTGACTCAGTACTTGAAGAAGAACTAGTGGATAATAGTTTTTATAAAATTTTGGTTAATGTTTCGTACTATATTGTTGCAAACTAGAACAATGGGACTGCATACAAATCTCTTAGTCTATCAAAACTGTCAACTATATTGCGGAAGATGCAGGATGTTTTTCATAATGATACTTTTTACATTTTTTCTCTAAGCGTTGTATATTTCAAATCAGCCGTTATACAACTTGAGTTTTTAGCATCAGTTGGTATTGTTCAAATCTGTTAATAGTGCTTGCTCAGACAGAACCAAGTTTTTTAATCGCCTTATTTTGAGGACCCAACCGCTTGGTTATTATTATCAGTTTCATACACTCTGCAGGTTATGAGAATAAAATAAGTTCCAACCAAATTATATAATCAAATGTTGAAATTATCATGAGTGTGGGTTCAGTGATAACTCTCATTTAGGTATTAACCTTTGATCTAAAAATTTATACTTTTAACGTCTAAGCTATCACAGTAATTATTTACTTACAAGTGAATTTCAGACATATTGACTAAATGATTATCTGCTTTTAATGCTTAAGTAACAGTTTAATAATATTTGTGAAACTTTATGATATTCACTTCTAGCTAATCAGCTGATAATAACAATAATAATAAATAGATAGATGGTTGTTTTCAATGTTCTTTTATCATTGTTGTTTAGATTATTAAACTTCAAGCTACTAATGCTTCTCTAACGGAAGCTGCTTTACTTGATCGAACAAGATTGCATGATCAAGCTATGCGTATAGACCAGTTAGAATCAGAGCACAAAGCTTTACTTGATCGAGTTTCATGTCTTCAGGCAGCTGAAACTGGTGCACAACGTGGTATTGTACGTTTACAAGTGAGTTTTTTTGCTTCACTTTATATGCATGTTCTTATCATTCGGTTTTGAAGCAACTGAACAATTGTCGTATTACATTCATGTTGATAAAGTTTCATTATAAAATAATATAATTGAGTACAGAATCATACACGATAAGGTGTTGTTGAAAAATGATCTTTCTTGAAATTAAAAGTAGAAAAAGGAGAAAATCACACCGACCGTAAGATAACTGTAGCATTTTTATTCATATCCACTAGAACGAAAGTATAATATAAGAGTTGTGCAGTCGATCATCTCAAATAATGTTACGGATAATGTGGTCTAGTGAAAAATTCGAATTATATATTCTCATAATCTGTCAGTCATCAGACAAATGAAACCTGGCTCATAGGTGCATCAGTTTAAGTTACACCACTATTGAAACAACATGATGACATTATCAAGATAAATTCCAGAGTAATGGGAGTAGTAATAGTAGTAGAAAAAAGGAATATGGTCCGGAAAAAAGAATGAATTTACCAAATAAAAGAAATTATGGATAATTTTTAAACTCAAAATTTGGAAGAAACTGAAACGTGACTGGATCTCTGTTACTGTGGCCGATTTTGAGTAATATCATCCATTGGTTACAGTAACCACACTCATCATAACCAGGTAGTCTGCACCTACCAGCATAGGTTAGTCTAACAGTCATTGACTCCATGGACTGATACTATTTCTTGGTTTTTTCCCTCTTATCTTTCTTCCAACTTACTCCAGCACCAGGAAGCATCGAGTGCCGAAGTAGGCGGTGTTCGGGGATATGTAATACCATCCCCCAACCACCTCAGTCAATGAAAATTAGTTACCTCACCAACCGATTAGCCATCTTTACCTTGTACCCTATGTTTAACCCCAATATTTCTCACTGATCCTAAAATAGGCCAGCAACACTTTGACGACATCTATTACTAAATGTTAGTAACCTATGAATATCTTCTTTCTAAAAAGGACACGTTTTTCAGCCTTATAGTGGAACAGGACGAATATATTAGCAGTATACACGTCCTTTAGTTGAGAGATAGATATCTTCCCTACTCTTTTTACAACACTTCTTTGTTATCTTCCATATATATACACATCTACTACTTGTGCCGGTGAATGGTGGGAACTAAAATATGGTTAGGACTGATAATGCCCAATAATATTTAAAGAAATATGTATAACAACAATCTCTGACGTCAGTAATTGATAGTCATATCCATGTTAAGGACTTTAGGGCTAAGAAAATTAGTAATGAAACAGTTCATATGGTGTCCTTCCCAATCACCATCAGTTGCATAGATTTACTTACCTCTAGTTATTGTTCTATAAATGATAGCCCTATTATCCTGTTTTTTCTCCAATAACAAAGTTTTGTAGCTAACCATTTTATTTCATAATATATTTTTGTATTAAATCAATGTTCACAAGTTAAACCTTGATGCGTATATTAAATTACTCATATATATATCACAATTTCAATCTCTAAGATTTTCACAAAGATATAGTTTCTATTTCGACGTCTTCCATTAGTATAACTATTGTGAAACTATTCATTCAAATCTAGACAGAAGTTCTGATTGGTTTTTTTTTCAAATACAAGTCCTCTTAAGATATAATGTGAAATAATAACCCTGTAAAACTCCGTGTATACTAATAATGTATCAAAATAATCGGTTTTTCACAGAACTCGTTGAACATGCGCTAAACAATACTTTTACAAATATATTTGAATGACATAACCTTATGTCACGGATTCAACCAGAGGTTCACTCAATGACTGAGAAAAGGTGTTGGATACTCTGAGTGACATGGTTCAGAATCAGTTTTAATAGCCCAGATAAACACACCTATTTAAACTAATCCATTCCACTGCCATTGGGTATATGAATGTAAATTGTTACTTGTCATATGCTTCATTATACGTTTGAATTAAAAAAGTCCTGTGACTCGTTAAAGAGAGGAGTTACTTCTTTCTTACAAATTTTAGTTGATTTATCACTATGTTAACCTGCAGACTACATGATATGAATTCCCATGATGTTATTAAGTTTATATAAACATAATAAGGTTTACTTCAACTATGCTTTGAATACTCTTATCAGGACTTTAGTGGTCTATTACCAGTCAAAGTGATTGGAAGAAAGGAGAACACTTTCAAGGGATTATTTCAGCAGGTCTCATACTATTCTCCTATTACCATCATTAACAAGCAGTCTAAATGGGAGATCAATGTGAATTCTCCAACTCTTGGTGAGGTTGAGATAGTTATATCTCATTTGAATCGAGGTAAATCAGTGGAAATTAATGAGTTAACTGTACAGATTTTTAAGTATAGTGGTTCATCTTGAAAATTTGAGTTCACTGAAATTCATCGACGAAAAGTCAAAATATTGAACTATATACCCAATGGTTGTCTGATGGTGGCGGTCCGTGATGTAAATTATAAAATTCAGCAATCCATATAAACCTTCTGTACTAATAAGAGAGGTAACTCCCAGATGTCTAGTGATTAGCCGTGACCTGTTGTCTGGGAGGAGGCAATTAACTTATAATTACATTGGACAGTAGTTATGCAATATCGTAAGTTGAATGAAGTTAAACGTTTTTCGCCAATTCAGGGGTCTAGGGAAAAAAGCTCACATCTATACCAGTCCAGTACTTCCTAACTTTTTAGTAGTTGTCTAACTGAGGTTAGTCAATTTCGAAAATAATAAAGTCCAGAAACCTCTACAAACCTCTCTCATAGCAACAATCTTTTGAATGGTCTCTTGTCTGTTTTTATGTCACATTAAATAGGCTCTTTATGAAGATATGCTACGTGAATACTCAGAGTCTAAACCACTAGAACTATCTAACGTTCGTGGACGTCATCATCAGAGAAGCAGCTCTCGTAACTCTAGAAATAATGATTTTATTACAAATGCTAATTATAATGATAAATATCGTGCTACATCACGAAATAATGACGTAAGGGCAACAGAACAACAGATTTTGGAAGTTCAAGCTATGAATTCTCCACGCAAACGATCTATATATGAGAACTCAGGGGAAATCGTCACTGCATCATCTACAACAGTAAGTTACCATTTTATTACTTTCTATCACATGGATTCATTATTAGATGTATAAACCTTTAATATTTACATCGTTCTTAGTATGAGTTTGAACAAATTAGTGGTTATCTAAACTCAACAACTCAACTGATAAGGCGTTTGCATTGGAAGGGGAACATTCTAGGCTCGTGTCTTGATTTAAATTTCAACACATGAATCCAAATTCATGCGATTGACGAGTCCGACATAGGGCGAAACCAATACATTCTTGATTCTACTGTTAATTATAATTCATTGATTTCCTTATGGTTATTTCACTTATTTACCATATTTGTTCAAAGAGCAGACATTTTTTCAAATATTCTAACAACTTTAAAAACTTTTGTATTTCAGATATCTAAAATTTCCGCAATAATGTCAAGAATTCATTTTCTTATCAACTAAACAAATATATTGTACTGAATGTTTTATTGGATTTAAGTGTTTACTTTGTTTCGGAACCATAATATATCTATTGACTTATACGTCAATGAACTCGGTAAAATTAATATTAATAATCATAAAGGGAATGGTAGATTCATGCTTTGTTAGACAGATTTTCAATATGCATACAAATCACTTTATTGTTTAACAGTATCAAGCAAAAATAACACTATTCTATTCTAGCCTATCTACTACTACTACTACTACTACATCACTTATTAACTAAAGTACATTGATGTATGTAAATGTATAATCATTTCTTAGGTCTAGTCCGTTGAAAAGGAGACAATTATGCATACGTACATAGACATGAATAATTTATCAAATATATTTATGACCAGAGAAATTATGTAATGTAAAATAATACTGTCTCGATGAAATCGAATACACTATTTTTTTTGAAAATGATATATTTAAATTGCAAAGATTTTTTAATTTGCAAGTTGATTAGAAAATTTTCAATTCCATTTAACATACAATTGTAAAAATTGAAATATCTCTTTGAAAATTCAATAAATCATCTTTATTAGTGTGGTTTAAAGTGATTGGTGATTCCTGTTGTGACGGCTGGTATCTTAAATCTGATACTGGTACATGACATACAATGCGCTAACCTCCTCTCTCCCAACTAACTATTTGAGAGAGAACACAGGAATAAGTGAGAAAGTACCGTAGGCTACCGGATAAAAATTCATCCCTTAAGAAACTAATCCATTTTTTAGCCAATGAAATACACTTGTCTTTTAGGTCATTTCCAAACGCCATCGATTGACTTCCGCATCAGGCTACTTCTGATTGGTTTGCTATATCACCTTTCTCTCCTGAAGAATAAGTCTTGCTCTTTGGATTTAGCCATCACTTCTCCTGCACTGAACCTGCAGCTCCAGAATGAATGTATCAATTAAATAACCTAGTGGCAAGTTCGAGCTAGGGCGTTCTTTATCTGAGTTCAGTCGTCTATCGCAAAGATGGTTTATGTGTCGCGTCAGGCATTGACATCATTTTTATACACCACATCACCGACTCTTCTTACGATGACACCTGCTACCCACGCAGGTCCCTATTGTCAGAAGTTTCTTACATACACTGCTAACCCATTAGGAAACTGACGATTAATTCTCTTCGCCTTGGATTTATCATCTCGTCTTCATTGTGGGTACATACTATCAAATGAAGTCGGAATCTTCCTTCCGAAAATTGACATTCTTTGGTGAGACTGGACTCAAGGTTATTCCTAATGATTTTCTCGGTCGTGCACACATCTTGTGATCATTTTGAAAGTCACTAGGAAATTTCTGTCTCCATTTGTGCATCATATGAGGATAGGAATATATTTGGTTGCAAATAAGACTGGATGATCAAGCATTTTGAATCTGGGTTACAAATAAAATCGAATTGATAATCAAACATTTTTAATTCTCTGACCCAATCAAGACTCAATAGATTGAAGGATTCATAAGTAACATATCATTTGGATTTTATCATTGGATCATTAAATTTGACTGTACACTTGATAATTCCAGAAATTTTAATTCGGATACCTGATGTATTGTTTATGCAATCGTTAGCGGGATGAATGCTTGGTCGATAAAATTCGTGTCAAGTTTTGCGAAGAATCAAAGTAACATCGGATTCAGTATCCAACTGCAGAGCGATAATACGATCATTAACATTTATGGTTAAATACTTGCGTGAGCATTTGGGGTTAAATATTGATAATGCGTGAACACAGTTGATCCTTTTTGGCGTTCGATAATAGGATGAGTGTTTGATACATTTGCGAAATCCCTCCTTATGGCCATTTACTCTATATGTTGAGCATTTATGGTTACTAAAGTGGCAGAAACGGGAGAAATGCCATGACTCAGAGTTCCAACAACTAGTGGGCGGCCTTATAAAGTGACGCGAATTAGGGTTACATACATTGGACGTTCGATTTGGGAAAGAAACTTTCGGCGAACAATGCTTTACGACATTAATAATGTGATCTGGATGAGAAACTTCCATCAAATAAAATGAATTAGGAATAATGGCACACACACTTCACCTAGTTTTTAAGAATTTGGATTTCTCTGTTGTTCATCTTAAGGATTACGATCGATCAGTATTTACTAACAAGTGTATATCATGGATGTATTGTCGGTAGAACTATACTATGCCGAAGAGTCAATCAGATTTAAGTTAACATTTTAACATGATTTATGAACTTTTCAAAGGTGATAATTCAGAATCTTAGAATTGAATGCGTAAGTATTCATTCATGTGATTATAAAGCATCCTTCTGCCTCGACTTTAATTCACAATCGTAATCTCAGTTGCTAATCGTAGCTCCCAAACCTATTTTGAATATCCTAATAGTCATATAAAACGTTGATAGACAATCTGATTTCTTTTGTTTTCTATAATAAACTATTCACTCCTATCACCTGTATCCCTATTGGCTAATAACTTGATATAATTTTGCAGAGTCACCTTAAGAGTCGCTCAAAGTCATCTATTTTTTAAAGTCCTCCCCCCCCCCAAGTTGTCACCTGATAGTCGATTTCCTAACTTCAGTTAAATCACAGTGACTACAAATGTTAATGTTTTGAACTTTTCAACAAATTCATGAATTCGATGCGTATTATGTACAGTTTGCATTTCAATACATTCATTTGTTTTTTTTTAAAACTGTAAGGTTTAAAATTATATTATGTTGGTCAGTTCGTAGGAAAATGATAAAAGATACTTTATATTCTCTTGATGAACAAAATATCTCTCGATATACCTATGGTTTCTATGTTTCTATGGCTTTGATACAGGTTTGTGTAGATTACATAATGCGTCACTAAAAGTCGTTGTGTTTACTTTAGTCTCTTGAACTTGCACAATTATTACTTCATAATGTAATGGATTTCCTAGCTAGTTTAGTGTCAATAAGATATAATCTTATTATTTCAATGTTATGCTTTCGCCTCACAGATAGAGATAGTAGCTAGCTTGAAGAATTACTATACAGATTACGTAATTTTCATCACAATACTTCTTAGATTGTTTCATTACATGTTATTACTCAATTTATTTACAAAATTAGTCAAATTTACGTTGATAAATAGGTTATATGATTCTTTAGTGTGAGATTAATGATCCTTTTTTTGATGTTCAATAAAAGTGTGATATCTAACATTTTCGAACATTTTCCCATTTACTTAGTTGGTCAGTGTACATATAAGAGTGTAGTTTTCACTGAGAACTTCATTTTAATCATCTGAAACTATTTAGATATATATTCTATGAACATGCTACTGTAGCGCATCCCAACTTACCAGATGAAGAAAGCAGACAAAGTGAAAGTTAGAACATAAAGTAAAATCCTCAATGGTAATTATACTTTTATATGCAACGCACCCAGTAAATAAATGACAAAAATGCTTAATACTGAACTTTTGTTCAACATCATGAAGCGGATGCGCTACAAATTGACGGACGCATATCCTATCCTTTTTTGTCTTTATTTACATTAAGTCCATAACACTGGTGATTCATGTTTTACCTATAAGCTTTCTCATTTCATTACGTTTATTTATTGAGATGACTTAATGGTTGTTAAAACGAAATTTTAGTTTGAATTTTATCTCATATACAGAAAATTGTTGTTGTTTCTTTGTTTGTCAGTTTTTGTCTGACTGACTTTTTTATTTGATAGGCTAGTTCCTTTAGATCAATAGGAATAATGTAGAAAAGTATCCAGAAAAAATAATTGATTTCCAATTTTTTTTGTCTGACTAACTAGTACAGGTCGTATTTAACTATTTTCATATTGCTTTTTTCGTCGTTATGAATATACGTTGTACCACAAATGAGCATCTAGCTTCTAATTTCATAGGAAACTACTATGCGGTCGTGAATATCAACAACTAGATAATTCAAACCCTTACCAATAATGACATAGACGTCATACTCATTGAAAAACTAAAAGACTATCTGAACTTAGTGCCTAGTTGCATGATGTGTTGGCGTTTGAAACAAAAGGTACTGGATTCAAATCTTAATGTGAAAATCAGTTGTGGCATGTGCGGAGTATATCCAACTGATGAGTCCCCAATGAGATGAAATGAACTGCCAGAATACAACTGCTAGTCACAGTCTATCTATTCTAAGATATTATATTTTCGAATAGTATATTCGTTTAAATCGATGTTATATTGCTAAGCTGAGTTTCATATCGTTCTAGAATAATTTATTTATTCGGCTTTTTGTGCAGTCAAATAATTATAACCCATAATTGCTGTTCATAAAGACAATTCTCAGTACAGTAGATTGTACAGGTCTTTAGATATTGTTACTGTGATGGTTTATTTTTATCATTTTTGGTTAGAAATATTACTACTGTAATTATCACTAATACCAGGTAACTTTCTTCGCAAACAATATCATGTTCACATGACTCTTGTAGATTAAAGTTCACATTTTTTATGTATTAAACAAGGTAATACTTTCTTTTTCTTATTTGAACTCGTCCCAGAGAATGCTTATAATTAATTGACTTCGGTGTTAACTGACAATATCTCTTATTCCATAGTTCTTATGAACAAGGAACAGAATTACAAAACATCTCAATAAAATTACTTTCTCTAGATGTTTTTTTTTCGGAATAAATAATTAGTCATCCCACTAGTGACTTGGATCAAGATGTTCGTGAAATTCAAGTGAGAATACGTGACCGGTATGGTTTAGACATGTTACGAGTGAAATAGTTGTCATCAATCATTTTGCATGATCGTCGTGCTAGATAACAAATTGATTAAAGTTGAAAGTGTACTATTTGTCTCTGAACCAATGATTTCAAAGATTAAATGTTTGTCGCAAGACTCGAATGTCCTTGGCTTCATTCATGATTGAGTTGTGAGTTGCCGCTGGTGAGGAGCTTCTTTCTAGAGACGAAACAACTGATCACTGCTCCCTGGTTTTCAGTGGTACCTCAACTGAGATCAATCTGTGACAAACACAACCTATAAATAATTTTGTTTTTTAGGCACGAAACAAATCCACTGAGTGTATTTGAAGCAACGTACAAAACAAAGAAGTGTCAGTAGTTTTGTTGAATGTTTTAGCAAAAAACTAAAACAGTGAAAATTTGATAGTTTTCTGTCTAAATTAAGAGTAGTATATTCATAGTATTCTTTTTACTCTTCATATAAACACTTAATTGTAGTTGCTCATGAAAAAAACTTTCATTTACTATACTCTTCTTATATGTAAATTACTAATTTATTCCCTGTCCTTACCAAACTGTACTCTTGTTAATATTGTTTTTCGTTATATTAGTCCAACTAAGATGTTGATCATAAAGCCAATCACACCAATCTGAAACGAAAAATATCGATTATTTTATTTGATTATTCTAATCAACAAAGTTTTGTGATTATCACAGCCAATATTTTATCGTAAGACGGATGATTAACCAATATGGAGAGACTATTTAATAATCTACATTTTAAGATAATGTCTGGTTAATTTATTCGATTATTTATCAACTTGTTACTTTTAAAGTCAATTTCTCATTTACATGGTTCAAAGTTCTTTAATATATATTTTGTACACTAAATGGTAAATGACACAATATGCCAACTGTATTAATGATTAACAAATATATCAGTTATTATAAAGTTTTATTCTCAATAAAATGAACAATTCTAAGTATTTTCAATGTGGGACTACTCCCACAATAGAATGAAACGGCCGTCCAGTGCTTCCAGGTTTTCCATAGTGGTCTACCTTCAACTGACTCATGATCTTAACCATTGAAATTACTATAATATCCACAAAACCCATCTGATATTAATTCTAAGTATATTTAAAGATTATCATTACACTATAAATAATAAGATAACAATCATTGAAAAATATACAGTATAAAATAGGTTTGTCGCTTTCTCACTTGTCTTTATGTTTATAGAAAAAACTGTATCCATACAAGATGATTCAATGTAGTTTCATAGCATAACTCTCTAGAAATAATATGCTCTAGAAGTATGAATAATCTTCATTGAATTTAGTAAAATACATGAAGTATAAGCTTCTCTGAAAGATTTCATGGCAGGACAAAAAGAATTTTTTTTGAATACTGATTGATTTCCGTTTAAAATTACAATCTACAATCTTAACCACTTTTTTTTGTATTTTATTCAAAGATCCAATGATGCTTGTTAGTGTATGTATACATGTACTTCAGTATAATAACAATATTAGGTCAGCTGATTGAAAACTGTAAACTAACTATAGCATAGTACGATATTTATTTAGTTCTGATAGTGTTTTTTTATATGTTAGATATAAACAAAGAATTGGGAAAAATGAGACTTTTAGAACTATTCTATGGTGAATTATTATCCCTATTTTTATCATGTAATTATTTTTTTTATATTGTTTTATTTATAAGCTTTCATTTAATTCAATAAAACTACTGAAATATATATTAGTTTACGATCCATAAAGTACCATTAATTAGTCAAGCACCTAGTACTCAGCTTTGTCTCACCTATTACGACCTGGTTATATACAAACTATTTGTGGTGTGCTGTGGTTATCTAATTGTTATATATAATCCTGTGAGTTTTTAAGTAATGTTAATTAAAAGTAAATTGGTTTATTGTCTAGGCATTTTGGTTGACTATCGGGAATGTAAATAGCTGTTTAGACTAACAGACATTTGGATTTCAGTTATTATTATTGGCTATCCTTTTGTTATTGATCGAATCAAGGGTTATTGTGTTAGCTAGCTTAATGCGTACTCCTTATCGGTGGACTATATAATTTAAACATCCGATTAATAAGCGCATATAAACTATGTTGAAGTCATAACAATAAGTTAATCATTAGTTTATTCATTAATATAACCTTTAAAAAGCTAAATATCCCATTAAATTCTTTTTTTCTTATTGTATCTTTTATTTTGTAACTCTTGGTTTATACCCTCTTTGCTTTCTTTAATTATAAATATAGATTCCAGTTGGTTCATGCAATTCACCAGTTTGTATTGCTGTACGTAATCTCCTGAAAGCATTTCAAGATCGTTATAGTGATTTAATGGATCAATTTATACAAATTCAACATAATCCAACATTAACAAATGGTCATTTAAATGAAATGAATATTAATAATAATAATAATAATAATACTCATGATAATAACAATAGTATAATTCTAAGAAAATCTTCACAAACTTCAGCATTCATTAAAGAATTATATACTCAATTAAATAATATTTCAAATTTATTAAATGAAAATAATCATCAAATGATTCAAAATTATGAATTAAATGAACATATTCAATTGTGTATACGATTGATTCATTCATTAGATAATTGGATTAATTCTTGTTTAACACAGAATGATATGGAAATTGCACATCTTCGTTTGTTCATTATGAATTTACAATTACGTAATAATAATAATAATAATAATAATTCAACTGGTATAGAACAAAATACAACAATATTTACTTCATCAATGAATAGTCCTGGTAGTAACGATAATAATGAGCAAAATAAACAAACTGTAAGTTAAGATAAATTATTTTTTTGTGTGTGCATAATTTGACATTGAGTCCGTACATATATAATAGTTGAATTCTTTTTATAATGTATATGATATCACTAATTGTTCTAAAGTAATCGGTTCATTGAACTCGAACATAATCTAAAGTTATATTGAAAATTATCTTCATAATCCATTAAATTTAATTAATACTAAAGGACTAGATAAACATGACATTGACCACTAGACAACAATCAATTAGCCATAAATATCTAAGTCTTACAGAAGGTCCTGAATACCTCAGGATGAAGCTGGGTGACATAGGTTCAGGTCCCACTGAGAGCATCAGTTCCTTAAAAATTACGAGTAGACTTTACTGAAAAGTATTGAATAGCACGAAACTTAAATCTGGTTGGATTTCTTGATATTTACGTTTGATTACCTAACAGTACTATATTTTTTAACAAAAGTAATAATTAATCAACATTCGTGTACTTCTTGAATCCCGTTAAAGTTTATTAAGAAGCAGCATTTTTGAAGAAACGGCTTATGTAGTGTAAATGAATGGAGATAAAGACATTGTTATCAGACTGTTAAACATTTTTGATATCTTGTTTTTTATCCGATCCAATAGTTTACACATTCTTAAAGATTGTTTACAACATGAAAAATTACGGCTCAATAGATATATATTGTTTTCTAAATTGAGATTCCTCTTCAGTGTATGTTTAGAGCCCGGAACTCTCTCTATAAAAGCATTTCTTCTAGACTATTTGGTTGGATTCCAGTGGTTAATACTCACGAGTGACCATATTCAAAATGAGTTCCAGTAGTTCTAGTAAGGGGTCGTCGCATTATTGGTATTCAGTTAGGTCAGATGTTAGACACTTACCTACAGCTGGTATAGAATGTCAACGCTAGATAGCTCGTCTAAACTAAACAAAACTGCTATCTGTTTTTATTCATTTTTAAACAATCCCCATTATTTTCTGACCGGTAGTATTCTGCCATTAGTAACTACACCATAGTATAAAAATAAAATTTGGTTCCGTTAGACTTTTTTCAACTGATCCATTATGCAAAATATCAGGATTTTTTCTAATAGGCATAGGAAATCAATCTAACTTGAATTTATTGACACTCTTATTATCTTTATTTAACACTTATCAGTATAACTGACTGAAAAAAAGACGATTTTTGTGTGAACCGATTTTGTATTTTTGTGCTTCCCATAGTATAAGAATGTATAACATTGCCAAAAAAACTTAATCTGCTTAACAAAAGCTACTTTCACTGAACACAATCCTTACATTCATCAGGTGAGCATGCGACATTTTGAGCATTTTTGGATACCAGATGGTCAAAGACATTTTTTTGTTATAGTCTACTAATATCGGTGATGTCACGCGGTCATTTTGGTAAATTTTTATTTAAAACAAATATTTCTTTTGAACAACAAACAGCCATGCGAATGTTGATCGTCATCAACAGTGTCGTGCATGAATTTTTCATTTGTGTAACCTATACCAAAATCAAATACCATACACAGCTAGGTTTAGTAAATTGACTATTGGTTTTAATTCAGTTGATAGGTGTATCATGTTTTAGCTTACACTTCACTTTAGTCTTATATTAACATTTTCCACTTCTGAAGTGTGGAATTATTTCACAATTGTTCATAGATCTAATTAACATGCTAATCTATTGTAGTGCGACTCTGGATATTAGTCATCTAGTAGGATGTCATACTAGTTGAAGTGATTTCATGTAAATCGGTCTAATTTGTAAGTTGTCACAGAATAATCTCAGTTTGGATACAATCAAAAGCCAAAGAGCGATGGACAGTTGCTTCTTTCGAGTGTGGGACTACAACAGTGCATAATATGTGTTGAATACAACTTACAAGTATGATACCGGGTTATTTTTCACAGATTTATTGTTCATTCATCAACATCATATTGATTAATTTCATTAATTTTCATATCTGTTTCTTCCTTGTTTTTGTACTTTCTCTACACTTTAAATAGTTTTCATGTTCAATCAGTATAAACAAAAAGCAGGACCCTAGTAAGTTTCTACTTAATGAACAAGAGTTATTTAACTTAAGAGAAAAGTTAAGGCTAACTGAAGCTCAACTACAATTAACGTCTATGATGCAAACCACTTAGGTGAGTCAGTTACAAAGTTGGTAAGTTCAATTATACTTGATATAATTCCAAACCTGCTTAGTTAGTTTTAATCTTGACGTAGTGCCCTATCGCAAATAAAGGTTAGCCTAAGGATGTGAGATGCGATTCAGCTTATCGATTATTTGTCCCCTTATCGCTAGAAATACAGAAGTTGGCGGTTTCTGTAAACATATTGCAGATTACTTCACATGAATCCATAAACCGAATAGTTTCCAGTTTCGCTGTGGTACTTTTATGTTATTTTTCATCTCATTGGTTCTTTATCAGTTTTATACAATTTCGCGAACTCTATGTAGTCGGAACCATCATTATGTGATGAATTTATGAGCAGGCTTGATCTTACATCTGCCACCTTATTCTTATTACTTTTCAACATACTGGATATCGGAAGTTAATTAAAAAATAAGTTCAAAGTGTCTGATTTCTTTAATGATTAGCAGTTACCATACTTGGCTTGAAGAACATTAGTCAGATGCTTGTATTCGGTATAGCGTGAACTCTGTGCTCCCAATTATGTAACGAAATTGCTCCACAGAAATTTCGGTTGTAGATAATTCTGGATTGGATTAAGTTTAGTCGAAATTTAAACTAATGTTACTATATTTCAAGAGTCAATTAATCCAACACTTTCCCAATCATCACATCAAATACATCAGTTATATTTAGTAAACATAAAACAAAGATACAGTTTTTGATCATTGTTTATTTTGAACTTCTCGAATACCTCAGTAACCACTTATATATCCTGATTCGTTCTCTTCATAAGTCTGTTGGCGGCTGCGATATTTGTACACATTTGTGTGCAAATCAACAATGGAAATTTATAAGACCGAGTATTCTAAGCTTTTTATTTGAACTGGTTAGCGGATAGTCTTCAATCACTGACAATGCTGCTGAAAGAAGTTTCATTCTATGTATTATATACACTGACACAATTCACTTGAAGTTTGAGTTATTGAGCGTTAAAGAGCTAAATAGAATAAGAGCTTATGATAAAATCGTATATCAGTTTATCATTTACTATATTTCCTATCCTAAATTTTGTTATAATAAAGTGAACAGAAAAACCAATTTAGTATACTAGAGAATCATTTATTATAGTGTGAAAAATCTCAGTAATAATTTTCTACCTTTTCAGAAGTAAAGTGTTTACAACATGAAAAAATGCGTAAACAATAATAATAATAATAATAATCAGTTAGCAATAATCGACGTATAACTTGGGACAATAGTTCATCGACTCAAACTTCATACAGCAAGATTTAATTATCAAGACAAATCTCAGAGCAGTAGACTTAGTACCAATATTAGTGGTAGTCGATAGCATCAACCTTAGCTAATACAAGTAGAGCAAAAAGTATGATTTTATCGAATGAATGAAGACAAAGAGTGAATCAATCCGAACTAATGTGGAAACTTTCGAGCTACTTCATCCATTATCTATAACTATTGATTATAATAAGCACACAGACCCTAACCAGGTAGTCTACACCTATGTACACAGCTCAAGCCGATGATAAATGACCATGGAATAATGGTGCGTCTTAATTTGGCTTCTCCTAACTGTCTTGTAATTTACTAGCACATTAGTATACACCCCACATATCGGTTGGCAGTAAATGTGGCATGTCATACATATTTCAACCACCACAATTGGTAAAGATGCACTGCTTCATAAACTGACTTACCATCTTTACGTAGTCCCTTAGTCTTAACGTACACGTGTAATGTTTCAAAGATACATATAATCAAATACTAGTAATCTATAAGTGTCAATGGTGAACTAACTGTTCATGAATAATAAGGTTGATTAAACTAACATAAATATAAACCATGTTTCTTTACATTCTTAAACTTAAATTCCAATTTCCTTCATTCCTTTTTTCAAATAGAATTCGTTGATTCTGGCAGTGTTTTTGAATAAAAAAAATAAAGTAACAAATAACTCATGCTACATCAGCAATACACAGTTATTTCAAACGGTATCATTTTTATCACCCATTTTTCTTTGTCTTGTTTGTTTTCTGAATTTTATCTAATCAGTCGTTTTGTTAAGAAATTCATATATATATATATATATATATATATCCATATGTGTGTACAATTTTATGTTGTCTTCTTCAAGTTCTCCTATCTTCTTTTGAATGAATGATTTTAAAGTGAACAATAAACTGAATGGAATGAAATCAAAGCATTTACTATAATATGATTAACTGATGCCGACAATATGATCGACCAAGAGAAAATGCTTCTAGCATAAACAAATGCCATAAATGTTTAATACGTTTTTTTTTCCAAAAAAAAGAAGAATGTTTCTGTTTTTTTATTCTTTTTCTACTGATTATTTATATTTCATCTTCATTGTGAAGAATATTAAACAATCAGTAGTCAGTCATCAATGCTTATTGTGTGTGTGTTTGTGTGTGTTTACACTTAATAATCATTGGAAAAATAAAATTCATTACCACTCTTTGAACGCGTTCATTCTGCTTATCATTATGATCATTTTGTTAAGTAAATTGTATAATTTTATGGGGTTCTTTGTTGAAAATAGTTATGTCATCATGAATATTATTGTTCTCATCATTCGTGGTTTTCTTTTCCTCATCACATTCATGATTCCCATAATGATCATAATATTGATAATAACTATTATTAATTCAGTTATTGTTTTCTTTTTTTTTCTAATAAAAAGAAAAGAAATGCACACCCCCTTTTTTAGAGTCAGTTGTGCTTTTTTAATATCATCACAACTTTCCTTCCGCCCTTCTCCCCCCCCTCCGCCTTCGATTTTCGATAGATACTAATTTTTAAATAAATAAAAAGAAAAGAAGTCATAATAAGTAGACTACTTTCGATTGTAATTCCATTCACAATGATGTTATGTATTACAGTTGTGGTCATATACATACACATTAGTTTGAATATACAAATGGTTTCTGAATGTTGTATTCATATGCACTCGTACAATTGTTGTAATGTAACATTCTTTTTCGTTGCTTTAGTTGATCTTACCTTTTTAAGCATTATGATAGATATGAAATATGTTTAGTATTGTTGAATTTTCTCTTTTATTATTTTTTTCTTTCTTTCTTGCAAACCGACAGTTTGTTCATTTCTCCAAAAATTTCTGTGTACAAGACATTTTCGAAGTTTTTTTTTAAGTAATTTTCTATATATCCATATATATATATATAAACCTTTTGTTTACTCATGTTTAGCTTGAATTGTTTTATTTGTTTTCCTTTTCTCATGGAGTACAGTTTGTTATAAGGCATGATTCATTGGAACATTATGGATTCATTATTGTCATAATCTATGTAGGTAACTATGTGTACACATGAGTATACTTGTTTTTACTCTGTTTTCTTCTATAAATTAGACTTATTATAGATGTTCCCTTTCTAAAACGTAATAATAATAATTCACATTACTTCAATCATAAGGTACTGCTATTCTTGAATGTTAACTTATCATAAGTGTCAGTTATTTATTCATTCTGTTTCATATTAATTAATTGGGAAAATGTAATTTGTTTTCTAACTAAATAAAAGCCTATATTACATGTAATCTATACTTATCGTGTTGCTAAGTGATTTTGTCTCTCTCTCTTCTCTCTTTTACCTTCTTTCTATTCTACATTAATAAAAATAGTTTTTTTTTTCTTGGTTAATTTTTCTGCTTAAAGTTTTATTTGTTAAATTTATTTTGCTTTCGACTTTTTGTGAAGAAAAATAGTCGTCTGCTACCAGTTTTTTTTTTAACTGTACTTGTTCATTCGTGTATTAATCATAATTTTAATAATAAGCTAGTCACACGTCTATTTACATTTTATGTCAATCTTATTTACATTTGTATGATATATGTTGACAGTGACATGCTATAAACTCTAAGATTTGTTTTTCGTGTCCCAATAATGATTTACCAATTGAATGTACTTGGATTACAATATTCATATCCCTTATGAGACACGAACATTATGTCTATTACATCAAAGTCTAAGATATGATACGACTAGACCTAATCAGTCAGTAACAACGTTGAACTTCGTACGTACGTACGTACATCAGTTCGAGTTGCCACACCACATTAGCACAGAGATGCAGTGGTCGATTCAAATCCCGTAGTGGTAGAGGTAATAAGAGTATAAGCAGTAATCGGGAAGATTAGGGTTTGGAGATGTTATTTAAAGAGTATAATCCAGTGAAATAAATTTGGAAAGAGGAAAAAAGGGACATGAAGAATTCAGAAGATTAGAATTTGAGAGGACACAAAGAGTGGATGCACCTGAGCCATTGCAAACGATTTTCAGCCATGTCATTCAGGGTCTCTAACCGTCGGTTACTATCATCTCGCGGTCCCCAAACAGGTAGTCTACACCTACCAACATGACTCAGTCCACTTGTCAGTGACTTCATGGACTTGTGCCATGTTTTGGTCTGACCGCCCCTAGCTTTCTTCCAACCTACTACTATACCACTGAACATAGCACGTCGAGGTAGTCGTTCGTTGGGCATACGTAACACGTGTCCCAGCCATCTCAACTGATGAAGTTTCATCACTTCATCAATCGATTTGCCATCCTTACCTAGTACGCGTTTCCTAACAACTGTGTTACTTACTCGATGGTCCCATGATATACGAGCAATGTTTCGAAGACACCTATGATCGAATACTAGTAACCTACGGATATTCTCTACTCTTACCGGCCATGTTTCACTGCCATAAAGTAGGACGGAACGAACTGCTGCTCAGTAAACACGTCCTTTGGTTGGCAGACGGATATCTCGCCTACGCCATGAATGATGCAATTTGGTAAAAGCTAGTCGAGCCTTCTGTATTCGTGCTGAGGTTTCGTCATACACTAGACCACAAGTGCTAATGAGACTTCCAAGATAAGTGAAGCGGTCGACACGCTGAACTACTTCACTCCCTATCATTAGTTCGGGTGTCGATGCAACTCTATTCTGAAGCAACATTCCTCTCTTATCTTCACGACTAGACCTATGACACTTCCGGTGCCCAAAAAGCGAGTTTACATTACGTTACCATTCAGAGGTGACACAAATAGTCTCATGTTGAAACGGAGACTTAAATTAGCTATCAACCGGACATTATATGCAGCCCAACTTGTCATTATCAAAAAGACAAGGTCCATGTTTCAATAAAAGCCCAAACAGCAAGAAAGCGATTGTGTCACATCCCATTGCGTATATCAATTTACATGTATGTGCGGAAACACGTACGTAGGGAGCAGCAATCGTCATTTGCAATTAAGGGTGACTGACATACCAAAATGGTCGCGGAAACACATGGATTCCAATGGTCAAATAAAATCACAGGATAGACAAACATCACCCTCCATTGCGAAACATTTGATTGAGACTGGTCATAAGGTTGACATCAAGTCAGCGTTTGTAGTGTTGTACAAAAGCCTTCAAGGACGTACGCTAAGGTTTATTAAAGCCTTAGCTATACGGAAATTGAAACCCCCTTTATGTGTTCAAAAACAATTTGTCCTTACACTTAACCTACTCTGGTAATACTGATTTATTATCCAGAGTGGTAATCACATTTGTTTTTGTGTACTTTAATATTAAAATATGATTGTTAATTGACGGAGAGTTGAAACCTTTCCAGTTAGTTAATTATATCATACTCTTTGAACTGGTGTGAGATATCGTGTTATAGTAACCTAGTTTATAATGTTCTAACTCAAGAAGTGAAGGATATTGTGAATGAGTTTCGATAGAAGTATCAACATTAAAATCCAAGTATATCAAGGTTGTGAGTTTCAAAAAGAACGTGAATCAAATTATTGGTGCAACTCTTACGAAGGGTGAAGTTTCCAGGCCTCCCAACCATATAACTTCCTACGAGCAAATAAGGGGTTGATATAAATTATTCCTGAAGTAACATTTTCCGTCTCTTTGTATAGATACACATTTCAATCATTCTCATATTGTCGATTAGTGGCTGTTGAAAGCCTCTGCACCTTTTTCAGCATTCTCATTGATGTCATCTGGATACATTAAGACACTAAGTGAATTTTCAGAAAAGAGATCAGTTTCTGGATCTTTGTGTAACACTTTTATTTCGAAGAGTACATCAATAACAAAATGAAATGAAAGAGGAGATAGTGAATAGCTCTGACAATTACCACTTTAGATTGCCACGTATGATGTCATTTCTTTATAAGCTTTGACTTGATTGCTAATATTCGAGTAAAGAGATTCTAATAATTTTACATGCTGTTTAACTATACTCTTTAATCACTACTACTATCACAAGTCCTCTCAATCAGCGCAATTACGTCCATCTTTCAGGTTACAAATATGAACACAGTGGGGTTCGTTATTCATATTTATGTTCTAAACCTGTCAGTAGATAAAGATTTGGTCATTATACCCACTATTATGTCTGAAACTGACTTGATTTACGCATGTTCGTTACTTATGAGCTTCATTTAACCATCGGTTGATTTTGGATAGCGGTTATATAAATATTATGTTAATCAAAACGATTCCTCTGAGGTTATCACGAGAGAATTTACGTCTTTTATTAGGAACTCAGACAACTGTTTATCAAGACCAGTTGGACAAGATTATGCCAATTGCAGTACTCAAGTTATTATTTCACTGAGTTCAACTTCTTGAACTGGATAGCTGTTCTCAAAGATATCTGTATTTAATTCACCAGGTTATTCTGATCTCCCTCAATCCGACTTACCTATGACTATTTCAATCTCGCTAAGATTTAAAGGACTCATATTGATTACTCATTAATGTTATTTGAGAATATTAGTAATTGGAGACTAGCTTAAGTGCTCTTCTCAAAGTATACTAGTCATCTTTTCAATCTTCCGGACTGATAGTGGATCATGGCTCCATCTTTACCGAAATAGTATTAATCAGCAGCTAACTTCCAATAATTTTTTCCATGATACATTTGAACAGTTGTCTAGTTTCTCTTATCATCACTGCATTTTCCTGATTTAGTTTTCCTTCATTGCCAATGTAAATTTAATTGACGTTTTGTGATTCTACCTTTGAATTATTTTGTTTCTTGATT